CATTAAGCTTGCTCCCTTAGCTCCTCCAGATTTTCCCTCAAATGTTACCTTCTCAATGAGAACCATCCTGACTACTCTCCATATCCCTTACCCTGATCTATGGTTTTTTATACTTCTTATCACCTTATAACATACTATACAATGTACTTACTTATTACATTACATTATCTGCCCCACTCCAGCCCCAACACAGGGCCTGCTCCCCACCCCTAGCACATAAATTTCACAGCAGCAGGGGTTTTCTCTATTTTCTTCACTAATGTCTCTTAAGAGGCTAGAGACAGTGCTTGGAACATGGAGGGTGCTTGCTAAATATTTGTTGAATGAAGAATTGAAGAGTCATTCATTTTAGATAATCTGTTGTAATTTCCTGACCTTCCTGGATATGCTCATTGGGAAGAGCAGAAAGCCCCGCATGTCTGCAACGAAGCGAGTGCAGGCAGTGCACCCTCTGGCCGGCCTTTTCACCACCCAAGGCTTTTACTTGCCTCCCTCTCACCTAATTTTATAAATTATTTCTCATGGAAGTGTTTCCTACTGTCTGCTTTTAACCTCAAAGCTTCTCACACTCTTTTCTAAGTCATTTCTGTTGTCCCTTTCCGGATCATTCCTATTAGGTCCTTTTTTACAATGTGATGACCAAAACCCTAATGTGGCATTCCTGGAAGGAAAGCCCCAGCCAGGAATGTCACAGCTCCAGAGCCTTTTCAGAATGCTCCATCCTCTAACTAGGATGGCCACACATCTCAGCTGCTGCTTTTGACTGCTGCTGTGAGCTGAATGTTGATGCCTATCATTGTGCCTAGATAATTTCCCTGAGCAGCTAAAACTAATAATCAGTGGTATTTTCAATAGAGCCTTTCCATTTAGTGTGGGTGAGTTATTTAGCACTTCATTTTTTCTCGGTTGAATTTAATTCCTTGTCATGTTTCCTAATTAGGAAGATTTACGGGGATTCATTTTTGATGTTCTGAAAAATTCCTTCCCAGGAACGCTTATCTCAGCTTCAGCAAATGTTTCATCTGCTTATTTCACCTCTTAATTCCTGCTGGGGTTGTTAACGTGTCAGACTTCAACAGCAGGGCTGATTCTGGGGCGGCCTCATTGTTGGCTCCTTTTCAGCCTGAGGCTGGGTCTTTATATTCAAGGCCCATGGGCACAGATGCAGCTTTTCCTCCCTAACTCCTGCACCCTCTCACGGGCCCTCATCTCTCCCTTTGCACTTCTTCCCATCTCCTGCTTCTCCTTTCTCTCGAATCCAGCCTCTCTTCCATTTGCATTCCTAGTGCTCGCCCATTTCTGACTAAATGTGGCTTTGAAAATAAAAACAATTATGCAAATAACATTAAAGTAATAGATACTACTCTATTCTGCATCTCACCGCACACTTGGTTCTCTTTTCTCTTTCTCTTGTCTTATGGGAGATTGATTTTTTTTCCCCACACATTTACCTTGTCGCTCTCGTTGTTCATCTGTTTTCTCCATCTGATTATTTTCATGTTTTCCAGGGATAGGTCTCCTCTGCTCCTCTCTTCTCTTCTCTCCTTTCCCTTGGGCATTTCCTCCCTCCCTTCCTGGCTTTCAAAATGCTAATAAACTCAACCAGGTGGGAGGGGGCTGCAATCACTCAGGGTCTCTGGGTTGGGTTGAGAATGGCTTAAAGACATCGCCACTCAGAACACACATAAGTAAAAAGGAAAGATAAAGTGAAATCTCTTCCATTTGTCTGGTCTTCCTGAGAAAACTAGAGAGGGCGGTTGGTCACTATGTGTAGTGTCTGCTGCTGGGCACTTAGCCCGGAGCTATGATGCAGAGCGAGCATTCCAAGCGCCAGACTGTAACAAGGAAAATTTCAGGCATTACACGCGGAGAGTAAGCTACTGAAAGACTGAAAGACTATGAGAGGTTGAGCCCAGTGATGGAGCCCACCCTTGAAAAAGACATGGGAAAGTGCAGTGACGTTGTTTTTCTATGAGGATATTTTAGAAAGTCCCAGATTCATTACATTTCCACAGCAAAACAAAAGTGGATTATTGTTAGTTACAAACCCACATATCTAAGGGGCCCAGGTAGGTGATTTAAGTAAGGATAAGAGATATTGGTCTGATATCTGAGGCAAACCTGAGAGCCCATTCTCAGGCTAAAGGGGTCAGTGTGACTTTGGCTGGTTGTTGGCATACGATAATACAGTGTCTGAGGGAAGCCCAGGAGCCACATTGCCCCATTTTAAGGTGGTGGCCACATATCAAAAAATTTTAAATACTTTGTGTGTGCTGAAGCTCTCTGGCCATCAGTTTGCAACCCCAGGACTAAATAATCATTAAGATCCCTTCCCATATTTGCTGTCTAACTCAGTGGTCATAAATCTGGAGTAATAAGAAAAAAATTATTACTAAAATTGCACAGCTATTTTCAGTTTATGAAATACGTTCCTTTCATATTATGCTGAAACATAGCAGTATATTTTAAGACTTATTCACCTGATATACATCCAAATTACTGTGTTCTCTCCATCCCACTCTGACCACCAGCCCAGGCAACCCCAAGGCTTCAAGGAAATGAAGCAAAGCTCCAACCCACAAAAGGCTGAAGACCCGGCTCTAATCTTTCCAGTTAAACTTGCTTTGCAAAAATTCACTCCACCTTCAAGGAAGTGCTAATTCCTAAATTACTTAAACTGCTACTGTTCACTTTACAAAACATGTTAAAGACAACCACAGAAAACACCAGTAACAATGGGCCAATTTCGTCAATTATAAATAAATTTGATTCTTAAATAAAAGATTAACAAATTGAACACAGCAATGTTTTCAAAGAATAACAAATACATGACTAAGCAGAGTTTATTTCAAGAATGTAAAGATGGGTTGAATATTAGGAAATCTACTAGTATAGTTCATTATATTAAATGAGTCAGAGTAAAAAATGAATAGAAAATAGAGCTTAAGAGACAATTGATAAAATTTAACATCCTTTCCCAATTAAAAGCTTATAGTAAACTAGGAATAGAAAGAAATTTCTTTAAAGATGACGATGTATTTAAAGAATATTTAGCACCAATTAGGGGCAAATGCTTGTCATACTGCATTAAAGACATGCCCATTATCTTGCCCCGTATTCTTCAAAAATTTTCTGGGTTTTGGCCAATGCAATAGGAAGAGTGAACACTGCATTATTTGTAGGGGAAATGACTATCAACATAAAAATTCAGAGAGATCAGCCGATGAGCTATTAAAACTAATACATTTTCACAGCATGGTAGGATACAAGATAAATACACAAAAATCTACAGTTTTTCTAACTTACAGCAATGAAAATGTCTCATTCACAATAATGATAAAAACTACAAAATATCTACAAACTTCACAAGAATTATGCAAATATATGTAAAAAAGTTTTTAATGTATATAAAGATATAAAAGACCTAAATACATGAAAAGATGTGTTCCTAGATGGGAAGACTCATGATTTTGAAAAGTTTGAGAAGAAGACAATTAGGAGAGGAATTGCTTTATGAGAGAGCAAATATATTATAAAGTTATAACAGTGTGGCACAGCATAGGAACGATTAAGCAGATAGTTTAATAGAATAAATGAAAATGTTCAGAAATATATATATAAATATGCAAACTTAATTTGTGATTAACAGTGGCACTTCAAAACTGTGGGGAAAGAATGGATTATTATTGGGGCAACTGGTTAACTATTTGGCAAAAAGTAAAGTGAAAAAAAGGTAAAGGGACGAGCCACTTCTCAATCCACTTACTTGAATGAATTAGAGATTGGAAGTTTACACACTCTTCTTGAGTGTAGTTTGGCAGTACGTATCAAAATTTGAAATTTCCATAATCTCTTAATTCCATTTCTAGGAACTAACTTAGAGGAGGTAAATGGACAAATGTACAAATACATCTGTATATGATTGCTTACTGCTGCATTTTTTGGAATAGTAAAAAATTGAAAACTACTTAAATATCTATCACAATGGGTTATTTCAAATGTATATGTGTGTAACATGCATACAAACTATGGGATGCCATGAGTCTACTTTAAAATGATGAAATGGGTTTCTGTGTATTGAAATGAAGGATAGCCACATCACATTAAGTGAAAACATCAGGTTCTAAATCTGTAGGTATTCTTTGATCAAAAAAGATTTTTTTTAATGTGTGGAGATATAGAAAAGACCAGAAGGATATTTACAAACTGTTTCTTTTTCATTTCCTGTGGATAGATTCTACTTCTTTGCCTAGAAGATTCTTTCCCACCTGTAGCTCTTTACCCAGGTAACTTCCATAGGAGCACATCCTCAAGGTCTAAGCTTAAGCTTCTTGGTGGGGGCATATGCGGAGGCAGACACGCTATCCTAGATAAGCATGCTCTCAAAGAACCCTCTACTTGCCATACTACCATATTGCACCTTTTTATTTATCTAAATCAGTTACTTTTTGCTTTTCCTCTAGACTCTAAGCTCCATGAGGACTGCATATGGGTCAGTCCTATTCCCTACAGAGCCTAGCACACTGTCTGGCAAATAACCGTCACTTACTGAGTTCTTACTGTATGCCAAATACTGTGCAAGGTGCCTTAAAAGATCTCACTACACTCTTAGACAGATGCTATCGTCATCTCCATTCTGAGGAAGAGGACACTGAGTCAGATGGTGAAATTTGTCCCAAATGCCATTGGCCACGCTAGGATTAATTCCCAGGCCTGACTCTTGACCACTACACTCACTATATGGTGATCCATAAATGTTGGAGGAAATACAACCAGCTGCGGCTTGAAGATCTCTCGGTAGGGATGCTGCATTTGGGGTTCAGCACAGGAAGAGCGCTTCGACCAGAAGCCCTTTGAACTCCACCACAACCCAGAGGCTTGCAAACCCCGCCCCTTACGCCCCGCCCGCCGAGCCCGGAAGAGAGCGGCGGGGCGGGGCGGGGCGGGGCGGGCTTCCGGGGCGGGGCGGGGCGTGGCCGGCGCTGGTTGGCCGGCTTCGGGCGGAAGCGGGGAGGTGGTCCGACGCCGCTGGCTGTGACAGGGACGGGGAGAAGGAAGCCCTGCCTGGAGGCTACCTCTCCATCACTTCGCTCCCCGGGACCCTCGGAAAAACCCAACACCCGGGCCCCACGGTCAACCCCTTCCCCCAGGCTCTCTCCGCTCGATTTCGCCACCGTTATGTGGGAAGCGAATCCGGTGAGTCGCCGGGCGGGACGGGGCGGACCCCCTGGGCGGGGTGGACGGGCGAGGGCGGGGGTCCCGGGAGCTGCGGCCGCTCCCCGCGTCGGGCTGCGCGGCTCCCCGGCCCCTGCCTTGAGCGCTGGAGACGGCTCGGCGTCTCGGGCCGCATTGCTTTCCTACTGCAGTTACTTAGTTTTCTTGCTGTGGTTTCCCCGCCTCGCCCCGTCACCGTGTGTTAGGCTTTGTGTTTGCTCTCTGATTGGAGTTTCCGGGCTCCAAGCCTGTCCCTCGTCCTTTGCCGTAGGTGTGCCTGCCTGTCCGCCCGTCTCAAGCCGGGGCCTTGGGCCTGGGTCCTGAGTGGGTCCGAGAGGAACCGCCGGTGCTCCTTTGCCGGCTCGGTGGGCAGCCGTGGAAGACCTGGGGGCTCGAGCGTGTGTCCTCAGCCCTAGACCGTGAAGTTCTTAGGTGTTTGTTTCCGTGGACAGAGCTGATGACCCGGAACGTTTCGACTCTGTCAGCCTCCCTCCTTCTTGTTTGACTCCGGTATTTGCTTTGTGTCTGCATGTGTTTTTGTTTACTTTGCTTTTATACATTTATTTATTTAATGTGCAGCCCTCAAAGAGTGGACTGTTTTGCCAAGAGTATTCCATTAATCCTGTTAGAGTTGAAATCGCCTAGTAACATGGCAAATGTACGCACTTCACGCCTGTGAGTTGACTAGGAAAGTGGCACAACCACCCTTCAGCAAATTGTTAGACTAAATATGCGAAACGACCCCATATGCTGAGAGAACCGCCTGAATTTACTTTAATACCCCTATTTCCATACTTGCAGTAACTTCTTTGCTGTAATCAATACTTCCTTTCTTTTCCATTCCTGGAATATATTTTCAGAGAAGTTAGAGAGTTTATTAGTAAGTTCCCTTATCTTTTTAAGTTTTTATCTGGTAGAAACTAGTCTGTTGGTCTCGATTTTTCGGTTCATATTGTGGTTCCATCCCAGTCCGTCATGTAACAGTGGTCATCACCTAAGATTGGGGCGGGGTGGGGGGGGGGAGGGTTCATACATGTAATCCTGTAAGGCCACATCAGGGGAAAGTAGTTTCTGGTATTTGATTTTGGCAAAAATAATTTAGAATTATAACAGTGTGCTCTCTGCTGATATATTGTTTCATTATCTGTCATCAACAATCTTCATTTTTTATCATTATGTATGTGTGTGTTTGTATACATTCAATTTTTATTAGCAGTCCTTCTCTTCTGGATTTCTCCATAACAAACCCTTTAGTCACCCGAGTACATGTCTTGCTCAAAGTCACATGTTTTAAATCCATTATATTGTAAGCTCCATGCGGGCAGGGATTTTTGTCTGTTTTGTTCACTACAGTATCCTCAGACTAGAGCACAGAACCCGGGATATGGTAGGCACTCAGTAAATATTTGTTGAACAACAAAGTGATTAGGTCCATATTAGAGAGAGTCCTGCTCCCACTGTTTGTTCTTCCTCCCATCACATATACTACGTCAGCATTTGCTATTGGATCATTTCTGTGTGAGGATTATAAAGGTATTAAGGAATGTCTCTTATTTAGTTTGTCTCATCTCATTTCTTTGTAAGAAATGCTCCATTCTCTCTGAAAGCACCCTAACAATTTTGCTTGATTTCAGTGGAGCAGGCTGACTTTTGTTAATAGTGGTGAACCTTGCACATATAATCCCACATTCTTCTCTTGACCCTTATCATGCCACCATACATCTTAAAGCTACTATATTTTCTTACTTACTGATATTGTTTTTCTTCCTTTGAGTGAATGCTGTCAATAAGGACAGTTTAGTTTTTAAAAATACTATCCGCATTCTGCATGTGGGTTAGTAATTTGTTAGTTTCTTTTAATAGAAGAGGCATCTGGATAGTCTGTCCAGCTGTGTTCATGGAATGAAAATTAATTTTGATGTTATCCTAAGCCAAACACAACTGGGAAGACTAAAAAAACCCCACAATCATCCTAAAAATAAATGTAGGTGACTTTTGTGTTATCCATCAGTTTAAATCACTGTGTGCCATTTCTTTTCCATTGAATGAGACAAGAAAGTCTACTTCGTGGAGGAAGGCCATTGTGAACTGCTTTAATTAAAGACTTCTGCTTAGTTTCTTCCTGTATCTTTTCAGTAGTATCCATGATTGATACGCCACATATGATCTGCAAAGATACCTTCTGTGTGATATTGTATCCCACTCCCAAGTGTTTGGAGGAAATATGACGCTGACCCTGGCCATGGTACGACTCAGAAGTAGCTGCTCCTTCCAGGTGAAAAGACTCCATGGCATAGTTTGAGTGTAGAAAATCACCCCCGAGCTTGCAACATTTCCTCATGGGGGGCGTGGTGAGAAAGCCAAAACAAAATAACCAAGAAGCTATAAACAAACTTGATCTCAGTACACAACGTTATTTATTTTTTAAGACAGTCGTGAGGTCAGTGATGATTCTCCTCGAGCCTTTCCCTGCCCAGGCACGTAGAGGTAAGTGTGAGGCCCCTGCCCAGGCAGCCCAGAGTGACAGAGCGGCAGGCGCATGCAGCTCTGAGAGGACCTCTTGGGAGTTCTCCACCCACCTGTGGGAGGTAGCCCCTGACTGATGTCCCCAGTTTAGGAAAGTGACAAAATCTGTAGAAAACCATTGGAGAGGATGCCATCGCTGCTTTGACTGTATACCCTGACTCTGTCCTGCCCTTCTTTGTCTCTTTGTCATTGTCTCCTCCCTCTTTGCTGGGGTTGGAATGAGTAGATCAGTATTACATGTGAGGAAGTTCCAGCTTCTCTCTGTCACACTGATGAGGGAAACTGAAAAATGACAAACATCTTTTCAAGATTACAAGACACCTGTTACAGTAATAAGACCTTACTTTCAATGATACACTCCTCCATAATTCTCTTCCACTTATTAACTCATACTATTAGAATAATCTGATGAGTTACCTAAGGTAGGGGAGAACGATTTTCTCAAGGTCACACAGGTGAGTAAGAACAGAACTGTACTGGGCCCACGTCCTCTTCTGCTCCGTTCTCTTGTTTGGTGATAGCAGTGATAACGTTTGTGTATTGGCCCAGGCCTTTCCCTGCCGAGCTACCTCTTTCTCTGTGATTTTGTATTCACAGCTGCTTCCAGACTCCCTTGGGACTATCATTCCATCTCTCCTTTTTCCATCAAGCTTCTGTTTTTTTAAAAAAAAGATTTTATTTTTCCTTTTTCTCCCAAAGCGCCCCAGTACATAGTTGTGTACTTTCAGTTGTGGGTCCTTCTAGCTGTGGCATGTGGGATGCCACCTCAGCGTGACCTGATGAGTGGTGCCATGACCGCACCCAGGATCCGAACCAGCGAAACCCTGGGCCGCTGAAGCAGAGCGCTGAACTTAACCACTCGGCCACGGAGCCAGCCCCTCAAGCTTCTTGAAAGAGTAGTCATGTACTTTTTGTCATTCTTCCTCATACCTCAGCTCCTCCAGCCCTGCTTCTGCCCCTAACACCTTACTTGGAGGTCACCAAGAACTCGAATCACCACCTACAGTGGCAGTCTTTACACGCTCACCCTATTCTGGCTTTCTGCAACATTGATGCCATTAGAGGTGTTTCTCAAAACTCTCTTTTTTGGTTTTCCTGGGACTATACTCCTTTGGATTTCTTCTCCTTTCTGTGATTTATCCTTGAATCGTAATCTTGACTTAGCTGCACTGCCTTCATCTACCCCTGAAGTGTTTCAGCTTAACCTTTTTTTTTCCTCTCAGCACATCGTTTATTGAAGCTCCAAGGCTTCAGATGTCACTGCAGTGAATATTCCTGCCACATGTGCATCTTTAGTCCTGACCCCTTTCCTGAGCTGGGGCATGGACGGCTCAACTGGTTGTCCCTCTGATAGTTCATAGTTAGTATGTCTGAAGCAGACTCAGCAGTCATTGATTCATTACTTCCCTCAGTCAGTCAACAAATATTTAGTAAGTATCTGCTACATATAAAACACCCTTCTAGACACTAGAGAGGGAGATTACAAACATGGATCAAATCAGAGCTTGCCCCTCAGGGGCCTTGCAATATAGCTTGAGGGGAAGAAGTGATACCAGAGGGTATCTGGGGGACTAGGAAGGTTTATTGAAGTAAGTTACATTTGAGCTAGGTGTTCAAGTTACAGAAGCAATCTATAGAAGGGCAAAGGAAGCAAAATGAAAAAGCCCATGAAAGCGAAAGAGAATGGCAGGTACAATTTGGATGAAGGAGTGAAGTGGAGAAAGTGCACATCTGATGCATGGTGTCAGTATGGGCATCTTCAGAGAATGAGGATGGAGGGATTGTGGGTGGTGGGAACTAACATCTGTGTACTATCCCTTCTGCATCAGGCAGTGTATTTTATAGACATACCCTCAGGCTGGGGGGAGGGTGGGGGCAGCTTGTGTTCCTGGAAGTGAAAGTTTCATAGAGAACATGGTGTCTATGACAGTGTGTTCCTAGGATCAGCATACAGTCAGGGTTCATGATCTGGTATCTTCATCTTCTTTGCATTCTTTGTAATTGTTCTAATAGTGGATTGAGCTAAGCTTAGAGACCAGTGTGACGTGCCAGTGTTTGATGGCAGGGGGCAGTGCTAAGGAAGTGTATGCACACATAGGTTATCTAATACCCCTGTGAGGTAGGAATTAATAAATTATTATCCTCATTTTTTCAGTGACAATACTAACACTCAAAGTTTGGTGGACTTTCTGAATACGGTCAGAGACAGGTTTTAAATCTACAACTTTCTGCCTCCAGAATGCATACTCTTTCCAGTCTAACTTAGGATATAGGATTTAAAGAGAGTAGAAGACAACCTGTGAGGAAAGTCACAGAGTCAGAGATAAGGAAGGGTTCCTGAGCTGCAGGAAAGCAGGACCTTTTTGTGACACCAACTCGCATGTGTTTAGAATTTTTCTAGTGATGTGGCACGTGAGCACGAGTAGAGAATGATGTGGCCCTTGCAGGATTGGCATGGCGGATGCAGCACAAGTCAAGGAAATGAGTCTAATAGTTTTCAATATCAGAGAAGAAAAGAGTTTGGGACACAGGCTGGAAGCACGAGTTGGTGATAGTTTGGAGGAATCAGGTCGGGCGATATGCCGAGTGGGACCCATCTGGCCTAAAATGCTCAAGCAGAGTGTTGAAGTCTGTGGCTTACGCATCTCACCCTCAAAGAGGTGGACCCACTTTTGAAATAATGTCTGATGGCACTCATTTATTTGTTGAGCACCTGGTATAAGCCAGTTGGTTCTAAGACCCAGGGTTTATGGTGGTGAACAGAATGGACTAGGCCCCAGCCCTCATGGGTTTACAGCCTGGTGCAGGCAGGTAGACATTAAACCAATAATTACACGAATAACATTTAACTCCAATTGTAGTTCAGGGTCGGGAAAAAAAGAATACAGTGGAGCAGCTAGTAGTGGACTGGGAGATCAGGTAAGGCCACCTTGTGAAAGTCTCTTTTACAGAGATCTGAAGGACTGAGCAAAAGTTAGCCAGGT